CCCACCCCAGCCCAAGCCAAATTCTACTAGCAAAAAAAAAATTTATAGCACTTTTTTTTTCTGTCCAACCCAGTAGCCGACTATCTAACTCACTAGCCCCCCATCTCACTGAATCTTGGCTCCACCCATGTCACTACTGGGTAGGATGAAGCTACCAGCTAGTGTGGTACTTGCCAACCCATTTCTGCTCTTCTTCAATTTGGAAGCTATTTTAAAGCCAAGGTTTCTTCTAGTAGGAAAAATAGAGGATATGGGTCTTGTTCCTCAAATTAAAGGACCTGCAATGCTTAGGGCATTGAGGATGTCAGAGAAGCGGTTCATCGCTGCATTCAGTACTTGTCATCTAGAGGATGTAGTCAACGAATTGATCACTTTCTATAAAAATGCTAAATGTGTCAAACAATTAGCAGAGTCTTCAAAGAAGAACCTCAGTAAAGGGTTTCCTTTTTGAACAATTTTACCGTGAATGTACTTTTACATTGTTTGATTATTTTTAGCCATTAACTTCTCGTTTCGGGAAGAGGAGAGTTTTATATGTGGTGTTGTTGAATCATTGATCTGAGATGTCCATAACAGAAAAGCAATTTTACTACAATTTGAGAGGTAGTGGAGGCTAAAGAGCGGTGTAAATTTAGTGAATTGTCTGTTTAAACTATTTTCTCATCTCGGATTGTCCAAGATCAGTTGCACATATTTAGCTATTGGTGATAGGACACTAATAACTTATCAGTTCTGTAACTTGTTGGCTATTATTTATCTTATGACAATAAGAATGTACAACTAACCTGGAGAAGGTTAGTATTTGTTTGAGTCACAGGATGGTCTGACCGTTTCTCACTTTGTGGTTTAGTATTTGCACAAAGTTTACATTTGTTGTGTACAAAAAGTGGATGCTCCCCCTGCTTACTCACTCATAATGACGTTTTATTTTTGGAAGTAGGAGGCACAATGGTAGTGGATCAATCAGCTAGAGTTTGTTTTGTTATTTATCTCATAGCTGATCCGAAGTCTTTAATGGTGATCAATGTCCAGCAACCGATAAGAGTTTAACGCAGGTCATAAGGGTGAATATAGCAACTTTTACTCTGCACTCGGCCTCCTGGTGTGGTTATTTTTGTTGTTCAGCGTAACAAAATGCAAACCATGATGTAAAGATGTTACATTACATAAGAAAGATGACGCTGAACACTGAGAATTCATTTTGCAAAGCTTTCAACAAACAAAGATACGCAACATTTTCTGCTACCAAATCCTTAAGCAACAACCCAAGACAACCAAAATTTAAAATTTGTACTTTAGAGGAAACACGTTTAAATTTGTGTTTTGTTATTTTGGATTATTATTTTAAATTAAGTTTTAGTAATAATGAAGTTTTCCATAATATGATGTTACGGTTAGTATTTTTAATTTAGAAATGAGAAATAATTTATAAATAAAACTACGAAAAATGATAGGCTCTTACTATCTATCGAGTTAAATATTTCATTAGCCACTGAACTTTGGGTTGTGTCGCGACTTACTTACCGAACTTTCAAAATTGTCTCGGTGGCCAATGAACTTCACTCCGTCCAACTCCATCACTCACCCATTTCAAACCGTTAACAGACGCGTCTACATTGATGATGGAAAAATGACTTGGCCGGTTAAATCCTTCCAAATAAGTTATAATTCGCCAACTCATTAGCCAAATAAGCAAGCTCCCAACCAAACACGCCATTGCCAATTTTCGGAAACACGATTCTGAAGTAATGTTATATGCCAAACCCAATTTCTTTTTCTGCCCAAACCCAAGTCGTGAAATCCCTTTGCCTAAATCAATCTCAAGAACCATAAACCCCCCGTCATTTGTTACCAGTAGAGAGCCCAACTAGAAGCATCGTCTATTTGATTTTGAAAAGTTAGACTTCGAGCAAGAGCGTGCACATGGACGGAACTGTTGAAGGTTGATACGGACTGGAAGACTGAGTTAATTTTGGCAACAGTGAAGAAGGATCTCCGTATAGATATTAGTCGAAATGTAGCATGGAAGATGCTGAGATATGCAAAAGAACTGTTAATAGGGACTTTGCAAGAGCAGTTTAGGGGATTGAGGTCTTATGCAGCTGAGGTACTCCGTACAAATGTTGGCTCGACATTCATTATTGCGCTACATGATCAGATCTTCCAAGGAATTTACATATGCTTCAAATGTTGTAAGATAGGTTTTCGAGATGGTTGTAGAAAGGTAGTAGGTGTTGACGGGTATCATTTAAGGGGTTGTTTCGGAGGTATAATGTTAACTGCAGTTGGTATCGATGCTAATGACTGCATCTATCCCCTTGCCTATGCAATTGTTCAGAAAGAAAATACAGCAGCTTGGCGATGGTTCTTGATCTATCCGTCTGAGGATATTGGGATTGGAGATGAAATAGGTTGGACTCTAATGACCGACAGACAGAAGGGGCTACAAAATGTGATAAACGAGTTGTTACCTATGGCCGAGCATAGGTTTTGTGTATGTCATATGTACACTAATTTGTTTAATGTTGGGTTTAAAAGTAAAATCCTGAAGAATTACTTATGGCGGGCTGCTAAATCGACCACTCTTGCTGACTATCAACTTTGGATGCAACAAATTCGTCAACTTAGTGAGGAGGCATACAAATGGCTTATAGAGAGGAACCCGGAAGAATGGAGTAGATCACATTTCTCCGTTGCATCAAAGAGTGACATTCTACTTAACAATCTATGCGAAGAAAGAATGAAGTAGATCACATTTCTCAGTTTAATCAAAGAGTGACATTCTACTTAACTATCTATGCGAAGTGTTCAACAAGACATTGCGGTCTGATAGGAAAAAGATGATTCTGTCGCTGTTAACTTCATTACAATTAACCTTCATGCACCGGATTCGAAAATGTCGAGACATGATGATGAGGTGTATAGGATGTTTGTGTTCGAAGATCCTTAAGAAATTGTACAAGATCGTCGAAAAATCGCGGGAGTGCACATTGCACTTTTCTGGTGGTCCGAAGTGGTAAGTTGAATGTAGCTTTGGGACATACGTTGTCAACTTGGAGGATAGAACTTGTGCATGTAGAGAATGAGAACTTACGGGCATACCTTGGATGCATGCAGTGGCAGTAATTAGGGAATGCAGAAATGATCTGGAAGACTTCGTTCAAAAGTGCTATACAATAGAGACATATATGAGGTGCTACAATAATATCATGCATCCAATTAATGGTATGCGGTTATGGCCACAGTTGGATATGGTCGGCATCATTCCACCATCGTGGACTGTACCATGAAAGGGTAGGAGATAGATAAATAGGAGAAAAGGAGCAGATGAAGATGTGATAGTGCATTCACAAGAGAGGATCTATATTCGGAGAAATGGGAGATTGAAGATGACATGCACATTATGTGGACAACTGTCACAACAAGTGATACCATAACAGACCGGATGCACCAGATTCTGTGAGTACAATCTTGCTTTCGTTGATGTTATAAATCGATCGATGGACTATAACATTTTTTTTGTTCAACAGGGTTGGTATGAAGGACATTTAGAAGCAGTTGACACACATTGCGACAGAGTGTTCGATGAATGTGTGAGTAAATGTTTCATTGAGATAATCTTGGTTTTTTTTTTTTTTGATTGAGTACATGATGTGATAAAAAAATTTTATTGAGTACCTGAAAATGTGATTCTATCATGTAGGATAAAATTTTGCCAGAAAGAGGACAGCGAGCATTTAAGGACGACAACCCCAGGAACAAACAGACTTTCCACTTCATTCCAACAACGTGCACGCAGTCGGTTATTCCAGAAGTTCCAACCGATGATGTGAACTTTGATGATGTTGTGGATGACTTGAATGATAAGGGAGATGCGGAAGCTGCCTGTTCATCTGCTTCAAATCCAGGAAAACGACTACGCTAAAAAATGATGTTTGAAGTTAGCTTAGCTTTTCTTGTAGATATGCTAAAAAATGGGAGTTGCTGGAATTTTTTACTTCTAGTATGTTGTGGGAGTTACTAGCCTTTTTAACTTCTAGTCTGTTGTTTTTTGTTGACAGACTTTTAGATGGTGTTCCCACATGTGCAAAAGCCACACAAAACTGGTTTTTTTGGAAAATGGTATTGATTTAAGCTTTTGTCCAGTGTAAAGGAGATTGAAGATGTAAATTGTAAACACATGGTTCTAAATATGATTTTGTCCAGCAATATGATGTTTTTGCCTTTTACATTAGCTTGCTTGAAATTATTATAGTGCAAAATAGTGTTCTTATTTTGTCCAGATCCTACGTGCTTAATTATTTGTACAAAGTTCTATAACCATGGTGATAACAACAAGACAACAAAGAATATAATGAAATCACAGTTCTATAACCATCAGTAATTCAACCTGGTAAATAAAATAAAGGCAATATAGTAACAGCATTGACAACAGATTTAACAGCTAATTGATTCTGAAAACATTGAAATTACAAACATAAATTCTAAATTACAGCTACACTGATTCTGAAAACATTGAAGTTACAAACAGAAACAGACAACTAGTGAACTACACAAGCTAAACAATAACGTAAATGATTTAGTTTCACAAATCTCCTCCATTTTGTTTCTCGTTCTCGTTCTCCCCTTTTCCCTTGCGAAAACTAAACTTGACAAAGATATCAACGTCATTTTCTTATGTTATTTTAGCAACATGTTTCAACAAACCCGACAACTCGTCAACTTCCGATGTAGCACTTGATTGACCATCATATTGACAATATTCGTTTTCGTCGAGCCACTTGCAATGAGTGCAATAGCTAGTACAATAGAAGAATAACCGACCAAAGTTTTTAGTCCTCTTGCCCGATTTCCGGCAACCATGACAAATCCCTTTGTTCTTTCCCCCCATTATAATATGCTGATGCAGCCAAAAAAGGAAAATAAAATCAGGAATGAACATTTATGCTTACAGAACCGTGAGAACTTATACAAATGACAGTTAAGCAACAAGACATAAGACATAATTACATCTTCAAATATTTACATAGCTTTCAAGAATACTTTAAGCTAATGCTATAATCAAATACAAATATAAAGCCGATATATTTTTATCTATCATGTTAGAAGAATCAAAGAACCTGTTCTGTAAAAGTATTTCCAACGTAACAGATGCTATTCACAAATTTCTTTAATCATCACTTTAAATTATTGGCTCTCTTCACAAAGCATTATCAAATGGGAGGGACGGTGAGCCTTATTTTTAACAATTGATGATGGTCTTAGTCTGTCTCAGATGATCCATTATTGAATTCAATACAGTTTAAGGAATGAATAAATGAATGGATCAAAAGCTGAAAAAGTAAGAAAAGCTATCAATCCATGTATCCCAATAATTCACATTTCTGACAATTAAAACTACCAGAGGCTATAACAAATGATACCAACATATTTCAAAATAAAAATGCAGCATATATATATAATAAAATCGCCAAAAAAATTGAGAAATTCTTCACTTCTTTACCAACATATTTCATAATAAGAAGGTAGCATATATATAATAAAATTGCCAAAAAAAAATTAAATACATATATAGAATGCAACAGATTTCAAAAGCAAAAACAAAACTCGCCAAAGAAATTTGAAAACACAATTCCTTCAAGCCAAAAACTCAACTCTGGGACAAAATACTTACACCGATCTGATATTGTGACAAAGGTATGGAGATTCCAGTCTAGTTTGGGAATTTCCCCCGACGGGTTTCTCACCGATTGGAACAATTGGGGGTTTAGGGTTCTTGAGATCGATTTGGGACAAAGGGATTTCACAGCTTGGGTTTGGGGAGAAAAAGAAATTGGGTTTGACATATAACATTACTTCAGAATCGTGTTTCCAAAAATTGGCAATGGCGTGTTTGGTTGGGAGCTTGCTTATTTGGCTAATGAGTTGACGAATTATAACTTAGTTGGAAGGATTTAACGAATTATAACTTAGTTGGAAGGATTTAACCGGCCAAGTCATTTTTCCGTCATCCACGTAGACACGCCTGTTAACGGTTTGAAATGGGTGAGTGATGGAGTTGGACGGAGTGAAGTTCAGTGGCTATCGAGATACTTTTGAAAGTTCGATAAGTAAGTCGTGACACAATCCAAATTTCAGTGACTAATAAAACATTTAACTCCTACCTATCAGTCTCAATATCTTAAAAAAATCGGCGGTCCTCCCCTTTGTTCGTATTAAATCACGGAGTACACTCACCGGAACCGCAAATGTCGACGGCAGCCGCATCAGCAGTAGTAGTCAACCACAGAATAGTAAATCTCAACCAGATGAAGTCTACGCTACTATCCTCATCGTCATCGTCATTCATCAGCACCAAATGTCCTCCGTACAGATGCGACGGCCCCCACAAAAGGAATTCTCATTATTACCTCGCTGCCTTCAAATTCAAACGCCCATTCTCTCCTGTAATGGAATGGCAAGATTGCACGTAATAAGAAATCCCTTACTTCTTTTTCTTGAATTAGCAAAGTTTTCTATTAATTTGTCATTTCTTGAATTTTTAAAATTCATTTTAACATTTAATCCAAGCGATTTACTTGCCTTGGTGCTATCCTGGGAGTCTGAGTTGCCAGCTTGCATATTCTGCTTTAGAATTTTTAGAATCAAAGAAATTTGCATTTTTTTTGGTTCTAGAATAAGATCCATATTTCATTCTCAGGGTAAAGATGGAAGTGGATGTTCCCACTTCTGTTGCTTATAAATGTTACGCTGATCGTGAAGCCATTCCTCAATGGATGCCCTTCATTTCGTCAGTAAAGGTGAGCAAGGATGCACATTCTTTTTGCTGGGCCACCTGGTCGATTGTTGTTCTCTTATCATTTAAGTTGTCTCTGTGGCATATGACTTTGCTACTTTTTAAATAGTATATCGAGTTTCTGCTTTATGGAAAACAAATCGGCAAAATTTCAACTGTGATTAGATTAACTATGCTGTATCTCTTCATCAAGCCATCTGGTTAAGCTTCATTTATTGGTATTATCCTCTAGAGTAGAGTCCCAAACACTACGATTTTGCTTTAATCTAATTTACAAGAGGTCGATGGAAACCTGGTGCCATATTTTGGCATGTGATGCTATTCTAAGGTGTTGGAACTCATAGTTAAAGTATTGAAGATGGAATGAATAATTTGAATACTGATCATTCATATTTACAAGTGAGAATTTAAGCTCAGATTTATACAAGTGAGAAGAATGTTCTAGGCTTCTAATCTTGGCTGTACAGTTGAAAAAGATAATCAATGGTGCACCATAAATTAAGGACTACACAACACGGCAGGTGGTCCTGCATCACTGAGGGAGATTATAGTCCAACAGAATTCAGGTGCAACTAACTGGTGAGGTGGAGGTCTGATGTTGAATCAGCTGATGAGTCAGCTGATGAGCTAGCCGGTTATCTATGAGTTCCAACACCCTCCTTCAAACTGGAGGGGACTATTGACACTCCAAGTTTGTCTTTCAAATATGCAAATCTGGAGTGAGAGACACCTTTTGTCATCAGATCAGCAATCTGATCTGCTGTAGGAACATATTTCACTTCTAATTCCTTGGCAATGATCTTATCTCTTATGAAGTGTATGTCTAGCTCTATATGCTTAGTTCTAGCATGAAAGACGGGATTAGCAGCCAGTGCTCCTGCACTTAGGTTGTCACACCAGATGATAGGAGTTGAGTCTTGTAATATCTTGATTTCTTTGAATAGAGATTGTATCCAGGTTATTTCTGATGCAGCAGCAGCCAATGCTCTATATTCTGCCTCTGTGCTTGATCTGGCGACAACCTGTTGCTTTTTGGATGACCAGGACACTAAGCTATCGCCTAAGTAGATACAGTATGCGGCCACAGATCTTCTATCATCTGGACAGGATGCCCAGTCAGCATCTGAGTATCCACTAATCATTAAATTTTCACTCCTTCTGATCCATAAACCTTGGTTGATTGTACCTTTCAAGTATCGCAGAACTCTTTTCACTCCTTGCCAGTGTACTGTGGTTGGCTCCTGTAAAAATTGACTGAGTTTATTCACAGCAAAGATTATGTCTGGCCTGGTATGTGTCAGATATTGCAGTCCTCCAACAGCACTTCTGTAGATTGAGGGATTTTTCAGAGGTTCACCATCAATTTTGGACATAGTTCTCCCAGCTGCACTGGGAGTGGGACATGGTTTGAGATTTTGAAGCTCAAACTTCTTTAGTAATTCTGAAGTATAACGTGACTGAGTAAGGTGGAGTCCTGTGCTGTGTCTATGAACTTCTATCCCCAAGAAGTGATGAAGTTCTCCCATGTCTTTGAGAGCAAATTTCTTGTGAAGTTCAGTTATGAAATTCTGAAGTAACTTGTTGTTGTTGCCGGTGACAATTATATCATCCACATAGATAAGGATGAAGATGATATTCTGTTCAGTTGAGAGGTAGAAGAGAGAGGTATCTGCCTTTGATTGGTTGAAATTCCAGTCAATTAGAGTATTTCTCAGCTTGTCGTACCAGGCCCTTGGCGCTTGCTTAAGCCCATAAAGAGCTTTTTCAAGTTTGCAGATGTAGTTAGGCTTGGTTTTGTCCACAAAACATTCTGGCTGATGCATGTAAACAGTCTCCTCCAGGTTTCCATTAAGAAATGCATTGTTAATGTCCACTTGCCTTATTTTCCAGTCCTTGGAGACTGCAAGGGTGAGGATAATCTTCAATGTAGAGGTCTTTAAGACAGGACTGAAGGTTTCGTAGAAATCCACTCCAGGCGTTTGATGGAAACCTTTTGCCACTAACCTTGCCTTGAACCTTTGAAAAGATCCATCTGAGTTCTGTTTCAACCTGAAAACCCATTTATTTCCTACTATGTTGTAAGATGAAGATGGTGGTACCAAGTTCCAAGTTTTATTTTCAATCAGTGCATTGTATTCTTCAAACATTGCCTTTTTCCAATTTTCATTTCCCCAGGCCTCTGCAATACTTTGAGGTTCTGTTTCACTGCACTTGTTTTCCACTACCTGACTGGAAAGAGCTTTAGGTTTGAATATCCCAGCTTTGGCTCTTGTCATCATGGAGTGCCCTATTTTCTGCCTTTCATCATTATTTCCAGCCAGACTGTGAGTTTCTTCAATGCTTTGAAGTCTTGCCTCAGTATTGCCATGGTCTGGAGACTCAATCCTTTGATCAGATCCCATTTGATTATGGATAGCATCTCCTTCAGTTGCAGTGTTGGATTCATCAGGAGAATCACATTCTGGTGCAGGGACAGCTTCAGGATTAATTATATCAGCAGAGTTTAGGTCAGAGTTTGAGGACTGAAAAGGCAGCTGGGAGTAAGATACTATAGTTTGTTGTGCAGTGGATTTGGATTCAGTTTTTGACAGGAAAATTGACTCGAATGGAAATTCAGTTTCATTGAATATAACATGTCGAGATATGTAAGTCTTGCCAGTGGGACTAATACACCTATAGCCTTTATGTGATTGGCTATAGCCTAGGAAAACACATTTCACTGAGTGGAAACTGAATTTATGGCTTTGATAGGGTCGAAGGCATGGGTAGCATGAGCATCCAAAGGTTTTTAGAGACAAATAGTCAACCATTTTGTTGTACAGGACTTGATAAGGGGATTTCATATGAAGGACCTGTGTGGGCAGTCTGTTTATAAGATGGACTGCAGTTTGGAAAGCTTCCCACCAGTATTTTAATGGCATTTTAGCCTGAGCCAGCAAGGTGAGTCCAGTTTCTGTGATATGGCGATGTTTTCTTTCGACTCTCCCATTCTGTGCGGATGTATGGGGACAGGAGTGTCTGAATTCTATTCCGGATTGCGAAAGATGATTTTCAAAGCTTCTATACTCTCCACCCCAATCAGACTGGAGATTTTTGATTCTTTTATCAAATTTGTTTTCTACAAGTTTTTGGAATTGAATAAAAATGTGCAAGGAGTCTGACTTGTTTCTCATTGGATATATCCATGTATATCTACTAAAGTCATCAACAAATGCTATGTAGTATTTGCAGCCGGATGTTGAGGGAATGGGTGAGTGACCCCAGACATCAGTGTAGATGATTTCCAGAGGAGATTTTGCGTGTGAGGTGGAAGTATTGAAGGGAAGCAAATGAGATTTTCCATACTGACAAGCATTGCAGAAAGAGCTGAATTCATTTAATTTCAAGTTTTGATTACATTCTTTGAGTACTTGGGATAACACTTGACTAGAGGGGTGCCCAAGTCTCCTATGCCAAACACTAGCCAGAGAGTTTAAAGTCTCAAGACTCTTGACTTTGCTTGACTCAACTGAACACACTGAATTGTAGAATTTATTTGGATGAACTGACTCAGAGAGGCTTGATTGAACTTCGAGGTTTGAGTTGGGAGGTTCCAGCTGATATAATCCTTCTTTAAGCCTTCCGTGCACCATCGTTTTCCTCGTTGATTTGTCCTTAACACAGCAATAGTTAGAGTGGAATTCCATAAACACATGGTTATCAGAAGTAAGTTGTGAAACACTTATGAGATTCTTTCTAATTTCTGGTACATGCAGTAATTTGTTCAAATATAGTTGTTTGTCAGTCATGGTAGGTATTTCAGCTGTGCCTGTGTGTATGATATTAAGTTTGCTTCCATTGCCAACCATAATTTTTTCTTTACCTGAATACTTACTCATTTGACTGAGGTTTTCAGAATTCGAAGTGACATGGTTGCTTGCTCCTGTGTCAGCAAACCAGGCTGGGTCATTGATTGTTTCTGGTGAGGCAATGAAGGCTGATGGAGGTTGACTTCTGAAATTGTTCTGGTGAGGTGCTGCAGGACCATTGAAGCTTTCATCATATCAATAGTTGCACACATTTGCCTTATGTCCTATTTTACCACATACTTGGCATGTAGGCAAGTTGTTAGAGCTAAATCTACCTCTGTTCCTGCCTCCTCTTCTACCACCTCTATAGCTGCCATTGTATTGTGACCTTCCACCATAGTGAGAGTTGGAGTTTCTGCCAGAGTAATGGTTGTTTGAAAATCTCTGAGTGAAATTTGCAGATGAGTGATTCAGGTTGATTCCTGCCATTTCATTTTTGATAGCATTGATGTGATCAAGTCTACTCTCATACGTCATAAGAGTAGATTGGAGTTCCTCCCAGCTGATAGACTCCCTGCTATTAATCTGTACAACAATAGGAGTGTATTCTTCATCCAAACCAGCCAAGATTTGAGTTACCAAGTCAGTAGTTGGTACAGGTTTTCCAACAACTTCAAGATTACTGGCAAGGAGTTTCACCTTATTCAAGTACTGATCGATACTTAAGCTATCTTTCCTGGTTTTCTGAAGTTCTCCAATCACGAAAGTAATTCTGGATCTGTTTTGAATGCCATAGCTTTCATTGATTGCAGTCCACAGTTGAGATGAGCTTGCAGATCCCATTACCCTTAGTGCAATCTCAGGGGTCATAGTGGCATAGAGCCATCCCATCAGTAATTGATCAACAGATTTCCATTGACTGAAATCTGGATTGGTAGTCATTTCAATACTTATCCCGGATTCTCCAGCAACTTGAGTGCTGATAAATTCTGGCGGACAGACCTTGCTTCCTAGCAGATAACCTTCCAGGTTGTGACCCCTAATGATGGGTAGAACCATATTTTTCCAAAGGAGATAATTATCTCTGTCAAGTTTAACAGAGGGAGTTTGGCTAAGACTCATGCCAAATGGAGTGAAGTGGTTTCCTCCCAGCATTGGAGGTGCCACAGTGTTAGACATTCCAGCTGATTGAGATCGTGAGCTGTCAATTTCAGGAATATTGGCGTTGGCCATTAATTAGCTCTGATACCAAGTTAAAGTATTGAAGATGGAATTGATAATTTTAAATACTAATAATTCATTCTTTCAAGTGAGAATTTAAGCTCAGATTTATACAAGTGAGAAGAATGTTCTAGGCTTCTAATCTTGGCTGTACAGTTGAAAAAGATAATCAATGGTGCACCATAAATTAAGGACTATACAACACGGCAGGTGGTCCTGCATTACTGAGGGAGATTATAGTCCAACAGAATTCAGGTGCAACTAACTGGTGAGGTGGAGGTCTGATGTTGAATCAGCTGATGAGTCAGTTGATGAGCTAGCCAGTTATCTATGAGTTCCAACATAAGGATGCAAGTTGTTAATGGACTACGTCTTCTCAGGATGAACTTGGTTATTGCTGAAAGGTATAACATTTACACGTCAGACTCATCACCAAACAGAACACAATATGGCTATGTTTGGTACCAATTCTAATTTTCAACAGTAAATCAATTTTCATTTTCAACCACACATTCTTCAATAAAATAATATTTTCTATCACATCAATAATCTTATCTTCTTTCTTAACCACACATTTCCCATCATATCACTATTCAAAATCAATTCTTCCCCCAAAAAATCCCTACCAAACACGCACTAAAATTCTCTTTGACGTTCTATCTGTTGCCTGTTTGTATTTAGTCCCCATGCAATTCGTCTTATTTTTGGGATGGTATGTGTGCTTTTGGGGGGACTTCAACATGACATTTAGGTCAAGAATGATGTCATGTTGAGTGCTCAAGAGAATTCAATGATCTGACTTCAACATTTTTGTTTGTTCTTGCCAACATTTTCGGATAGGTGTCAAGGGACATCTACTTATGAACACACACATATATTGCCATCCCCAACCCTTTTATCTGGGTCCAAAACGATGACAGTCAAGCAGCTGATTGGCTGAACACCTTGGTTTTTACCTTATCAATATTTGAGCTGTGTATGTCATCACATGGAACTAGCATCTGTGCATGCATGAGAGATAACAGTGTAGATGTTATGAGAATGTAAATGACATAAACATGTCGAAGTTCTGAATTTTGTGTTCACCTTCTCGATTCTAATATTATGTATGTCAATCAGAATGTTGATAATCACTTAATTAATCATATGTTCAGGTTTCAGATTTGTACAGTTAATAAATATTAAGTTGTATTTTGTTATTCAGATTCTGGAGGATAAGCCTGACCTATCACGATGGTCACTGAAGTATAAAGCATTTGGGCAAGATATTGAATTTTCTTGGCTTGCTAGAAACATGCAGGTAACTTCCAAGAAGTTTTATATCATCAGAAAACTTCTTTATTATCTTTAACTCATTTTTTTGAGGTACCCATCAAATTGTCATGATTGTTTTCTTTCAGCCTATACCAAACCAGAAAATTCATTGGAGATCTCTGGAAGGTCTTCCTAACAGGTAATGGAAGTTGACCTTTTTCTCTTTATTTTTTATTTTTTTGGTTAGTGCTATGAATATTTTATTAGATTCTTTACATCTCAGTTTTCCGTGTTGTTTTATGCAAATTGAAGAATTGTATCAAATGGAGTAATAAAGTCATTGTTTGTGTGAGGATGATGATCAATGCCGGAAAACTAGTTGTTTTTACTCTATATGAAAATCTTGTCAAAAGTTTATAATCATTTTCTCCCTTATTCTGCAAATAGAAACACCAAATTAAGTGTGGGAATTTGGTTTTTTATCTAGATATTCTCCTTATAGAAATGTGTTGTAATAGAGCATAAATTCTTGAGGAATTAAAGTTTCCCAATCTCATTGTCGCACAATATATAGAAAGAGGAGAATTAAAGAAATCTTTACACAACAATCCAGTTGAATCCCATCTCCTATACTCTATTTGCTGAGAATGTTTTCTTTCCTGCTTCTTTCATCAAGTCTTCCCAAACTGAATGAAGTGGTGTTCTTGAATGTGCCATTTCCTAACTAATGACAATTTGTCAGGCTGCATAAAGGTTTTATGAATCTTTTGATTACACGTGTCACACTCTAAAAGTAAATATAAAGAATGTTACACCCTGCGCCGTCAGCTTACTTCTTCAGTCTTTATCATGTCATGACAGTGCCATTTGCATGATTTTCTATTGTTGTTTTCTGTGTGAGAACAAGAGGCCATGGGCAACCTTGTTATTCTTTACTTCAGGATTTTAACGAATATTTATCATTCAATATAACAATAAGATGAACAAGATAACATTTGGGATATGCTTGACACTAAGTTCTATGTTGCAGGGGAGCTGTGCGGTTTTTTCCTAAAGGCATTTCCTCGTGCTTGATTGAAGTACGATTTCTTCAAACAATATCCACTTTAGACTAATTTTGTTGGGGTTTTGTATTGCTTTGTGAAATACCCTTGTAATTTATTGCTTGATCACCTTCCATTGCTTCCCCCATTTGCACTGTTGAACTCAAAAATTTATTAGGTTAATAATTGTGGATCAATCATTTATGGTATAGCCTTATAAATGGAATGCAATCTGTGGAATATGTAATAGTATTAAAATTATGTCTTGGCTTGTTCATTGGGTGGGAGAAAAACCACTGAAATCAGAGATGAAGTTCTCTTCTCTCTTCACATTTCGGCTCTCCAAATTCTCTACTTCTCCTTACAAATTGAAATTTCTTGTATTTCAGCTTACTGTTTCATACGAAGTCCCTCAACTGCTGATTCCAGTGGCTTCCGTAAGTATGCTTACCCAACTGTAGAAGGCATTGCTTTGCATTCAAAGCCCTATATTAAAACATGGCTAAAAGGACTAAAAATTTTCGGACAACAAATAATAAAATAAAAATGAATTGTTATGTGAGATCTTAGAAGTTCCATAAAAATATATCATGCTTATTAGTTTTTATATGATTTTTATGGTAACATGAATAAAACAATTCAACAAATTTTACTCATTTTTCTGTTTATGTAGGCATTGGAACCTTTTCTTGAAAGCTTGCTAGTCCGTGGATTGGAACGGTTTGCAAAGTTTGCTAAAAGCTATTCCGCTGATTGACGGCTTTCTGATTTTGGTTTCTAAAATTTGCAAATGAGCTGATAATAGATACGGAAAATGTGAAGAATTTTGTGTATCTTGTGAAGATAATGAATTCGTATATTGACAAAATAGACACTTCTAATATCTTTCTGGAGATGTACTTGCGTCGTTTGTTTCTTGCAATTTATCAATAATCAGCATGGCCAAGTTAGAAATACCATTGACAGAATACCGTTTATGGCAGCCCCAAGGGGAGTCATTCAGTAGAAAAAATAGGACAAAGACGAGAGAGGAATGTGCATTTGAATTATTGGTTCGAAAAGTAACAAAAACAAACTATCAAGTCAAATGTAAAATGACCTTGAAGTACATATGAAAGTAATGGAATGAATATGACATGTTTTGTGTGCCAAAATCAGTAAGAATATGAAGAAGGGAAAGACATACGAGATATTTATCAGTTATCAAACATAATTTTGTTAGGAGCATAATTTATAGTGAGATTCATACGTTGAGTACATCTAAAGTAGGTGGTATATTCCCACTAAATTAAAACTTAAATTATTCAATAATTGCATACATTGACGGAAATTACAAAATATCAAATAAACTTTTAAACGGAAAAGAATTATCGCAATACAATTTTTCACCTTGACCCCACTAAAGAAGCAAAACAGTCAGGGCTTTCTGTTCGAGCAGGACTCGGTGGTTCAGTTGAACATAGTGCGACTCAATGATGGAAGGGTCAGGAGTAGTGATGGGGTTGGACCCTTTTCCATCGACTTGACCAGTGGAACCAATCGAATTTCGCCAAAAAGGAGTTGTAGAGCCTTATGCTACCCTTCTAAAAACCAACAAAGAAGTTATACTTGATGTTAAAGTTTGATCCTGCCAAAAAGTGAGGCCCAATTAAATGATCCAAATAATGAAGTTCAATTAGAAAATTCGAAGGATGTACCTAAACCCAAGACAGAGTTATGTAATGGAGGTCCATTCTCGCTCAAGCCTACGAGACACCCAGACGCCCAAGATCTGGGCGAGCCTGTTATCGCTCAAGCCTGTGCGACGCCCAAGATCTGGGCGAATATAGTGTTTTGGTTACTATTTGGAGCAACGGTTATTGAATCAGTTAATCGGTAACCTTATCATATTCCATGATCCAAGAATCTCGCTTGCAAGGAGTTAAGTGATGAGAGTAATGACAGCGGTTGAAAACGGTAGTTTCTTGACAAGTCATCCATGATGGAGAAAGTGGGTAGTTATAGGATGAGATACAGTTTTCGAACGGTTCTACAAAGAAAACTGTCAAAGGAAGTATAAAAGAGAGAAGAATTTAGAAGAAGGATATATCAACACCGACTCTCAAACAGAGAATTATGTAATTTCATTTCTTTTCTTCTAGTTAACTTTCAATTACTTTCTTCTAGAATTCGTGTGCTTGCCCCCCTTGGAGGCATTTCGCTTCGTCCATATTGTAATCTTCATAAATAAAACACCCGTCGTTGGGACTTTGTCTTGAGAGGTTGTCGTTCCTTACACAATCGTCTGAACCTTATTTTAATTGTTAGCGATTTCCACGCGAAACAATTTGGCATGCCTAGTGGGACACTTGGTGCTTGAAGATACAAAAATTGAATCAATATACCTCATAAGAACTCTGATAAGGTGCCAGAAAGTCAACGAATAGTCCAGTCTGTGATCGAACGATATGAAGAGCAGCAAAGTGCTTCACGAACAGAGGGATATAGTTAAAGTCGTTACGAACCAATGACAGAATTGAGTCCTCGAACCATGCGTGCATTGCTTGGGGAACTCACACACGATGTTGTCGAACAGGTAAATTTACATAATGTTCATAACATGGAAAAATTTGCTCAAAATAGAAATGTGCATTATGACAATATGGCCAAACAACTAAACACTTTAAATGAAATCATGAATAAGTTAGTAGGCCAAATTTGTTAACCAATTTTGCCAAGTATAGGGAATCACTTCCAAACCAGGACGATTGTAGGACATAATTCCCCAATCCTGAGTCCGAATCAAGGAATAGAGCCACCTTTTGGACTGTCTACCTCAAACCAGGGGGCGGTGGAATGTCAAATCTGAATAGTGGAAATGGAATATCAAACTTGGGGGGTAACCTAAATGCAAGAGACAATGTCCAAGCCAATGGACAGAACACCCCGCGTGTTAATGATGGTGGAAATACTCAAGTTAATGGTAATAATGGTCTAAATAATGGCGCTTTTACCACAACCCAATGACCAAACGTTAGGCCTCAAGTAATCCCAACAGTAAATCAACCTATAGGAGTCCCATATGATCCCAACGTTATGTTGAGGAATCAAATTATGGAGATAGTGCAAGATCAAATGGCTTTTAGGATGCACCCTTTTATTAGGCCTACTTACACAAATCCATATCCTGATTGAATATATCAATCATATTCGTGGCCTTGAGGGTACAAAGTACCATAGTTTTCATTATTCACCGGTCTAGGAGAAGTTTTTACTCTGGAACACATAGGGCAATTTACACTGCAATGTGGTGAAGTAACTGATTATCACAAAATAAGACTATTCTCTAGTTCCTTAACAGGAGTAGCTTTTTCATGGTTCATTAACTAGCCAGCAAATTCAATCCAAACATGACAACAACTAGAACAATTATTTCATGCTCAGTTTTATAAAACTGAGTTTGAAGTTACTTTGGCTGACTTGGAGAATTTATGTCAAATGCCAAACGAATGGGTAGAAAATTTCTTTCAGAGGTTAAAACAGCTAAGAGTAATGTTTTGTACCTTTGCCTAAAAAAGAATTTGTTAAAATCGCTCAAAATTGTTTGAGTTTTGAAATGTTTTGTCCCTCTGCCTGAAAAAAGAATTCGTCAAAATTGCTCAAAGTTTCTTGAGTTTCGATTTAAAAAAGAAATTCCAAGACAGAGAATTTCCTGACCTTTTTCAACTGAGTGCTAATGTGATTAGATATGAACGATTGATAAGAGAAGAAGAACATGTGAAAAACTCTAGCAAAGAGACTTATTATAGAGACCCAAACTTCGATATTCATGCTGTTAATGACAAATATTAAGATCAGACAGAAGTATGTCTGGTCGAATTGATTAAGGGAGATGTATATGCTTATCCTATAATGGCCAAATTTAGAACATCGGGTAAGGATGAGCCTGTAAAAAATGAAAACAGAAAGGCTAGGATATTCTCATTTGATGTGACCAAGGCTGACTATATATTCGATAAATTATATAAGGTTAAGCAGATAAAGTTGAGCGACAAGCATAAATTGCCAGACCCTAAACAAGTTAAGGGTAAAACATATTGTAAATGACACAATGCATGGTCACAGATGAATAATAATTTCTTGGTCTTTCGTCATGTGTTACATGATACCATTGAGTCAGGGCAAATCACGTTCAAAGCAAAGAAGAAAATGGCAGTGGATGAAAATCCTTTCCCACAGTCACTTGGGGGTGAAGATAGTGACAACTGGTTTCAAGAATAAGTTGTCAAGATTTAAGTTGGTCGTAGACGATGGAGAAGAAGTTCCTGAGCCACATCCCAGTGTTTTTGAACGTATCAAAGGAAAAGAGCCTAGGGAAGACAAAAATATCTTGTGTGCTAGGTGCAAAGGGGAAGTGAATGCAGATATGGAAAGACCAGGAACATGGCGATATCATCATCGTCCTGATGTGGTCCTAAATTTCCAGCCCGGTGGAGGACAGAATATGTCATTCTATAGAGGACCGCCTTTTGAGAGGCAATTCATGCTGATATTAATGGGAGGACGTTCAGGCTACAACCTCGCCAACCAAATGTATGACATTCATTCCAATATAATGCAGAAAGGGTTGTACCCTTTAGCGAAATGACCATAACCCAACAAAGGCATTTTTAACGAAATTATGGACGAATGATGAGGCAACAACAGGGATCGTTACATCCTAAGGCACTTAAATTGCTTGAGGTGGCTAATAAAAATGTTCTTAAAGATAATGAGGAGGCTGGTATATGTGAATCAATGGAAGAGTTACCAGAAAGTTCTTTCGGGAGATCAAAATTTGAGCGTAGGAAGAAAGATGAAGAAGATCTAGATCAACCACTCACTATTCAATTTGTTATGTTACCTCCTGTATGGCTAATAATTATTTATTAGCCAATGAATTCAAAAGTAAAGAAGATGTAGAAGAGGAAAGTGAGCATAATGAAGAAGAAGCGTGTGTGCTGGAATAGGAGGAAGGCCAAACATCTCAGGAGGTATATGATGAAGAAGATGATAATGGCATGACGGACATTGAAGAAGAAATTGACTTAGAAGCAGAGAGAAAAAGAAGAAGAGTGTTGCGCAACACTTTATTGAAGCAACTGCATCAAATAGGTGTTTGCGAGGTGGATTTGTTGGGCGAGCCATTTGGGCATTCTTTTGACTACTATGTATTATACGGGACACCCAAGAAAAAGAAGAGAGTACCTCGCTCTGAGAAGCATGGGTCACCTCCAAGAATATTATCTCACCCTACAGGTTGGATAACCAAAAAAGAAGCACTAGAGGAAAGTAAGGAAGAAATCCAAGAAGCAGAAACTCGGTACGAAATATTGCATGTTAACTTATCACAAAGGGATAATTCAACGGAAGACAAACAGGAAGTGGAAATAGATGCAGCTGAAAAAGTCATCTTCAAAAGACCAAGATGAAGTTAACCAAGCACTTGAGGCCATTGTACGTGAAGGTCTTACTCAATGGCATACATGTGGCAAAAGTGTTCATCGACAATGAAGTAGCTATAAATACTATCCCATCTAGAATGATGAGAAAATTTGTAAAGATAGAAAGTGATATGATCCCAATAAAAGTCATTCTCACAAGTTTCAATGGAGGAGCAATTTCAGCTAAATGGGTGATGCCACTGGATATAACTGTGGGAACAACTACTAGATCCACAGTCTTCTTTGTGATAGATGGTCCTACTAGTTATAATGTGCTACTAGGAAGGGATTGGAT